GGAAGGATGTTTTTTAATTGAAATATATATATTCATTAAGTCATTGTGAAGCAGACTTTCAAAAATGGGCTGTCAGCAGGTGGCCTGAGTCCAGGAAATAGGCTCGCAGGTGGGGTGGCAACCAGAGAGGGGCCTGTCTGCTCCCCAAGTCTCCAGGGGACAAGCCAGGGGTCCTTAACAAGGTCCAGCCTTCGTCACCTTCGCATCCACCGGAGGCTTGGCTGCCAGAGATGCTAATGCAAAGGGCCAGTGGGGCTGCAGCCCCAGAGAAGTTCTGGGTCTTGGGTCTAAGCCAGATTGCCTGGCTCCCCCAGTGCTGCTCCAGGCAGGGGCGTGCCCACGGAGGTGCAGCAGGAATGGGCTGGGAGCCCAGCGGAGATCTCTCAGAGACTTGGGGGAGGGCTAGGAATGAGGACATCAGCTGGGGAGTGCTCTAGAGAGGTGGCTCGGGAGCAGAACTCACCCCACCAGTTAAAAGGCCCCTCTCCAAGGAGGCTTGCAACCCCCAGCTGCGCTGCTAAGAGCCAGCGGAGGCCGAGGCCGTGCTCTTAGCTGAGAACTTTAAGGGTTGGCCCCATCTGGACCTCCAGCTGGCAGGGACGGGCATCAGCTGTGCGTGCACGGAAAGGAGACTGAGCCCTGGAGGGCTTAGTGCGCCCCGAGGTCGTTCAGCTAGGCCAGGGCTGACAGCTTTGAGGGGAGCTCAAGTCTCACATTCTAAGCCCGGGAGGGGCTGCCTGAGGAGGCTGAGGCGGGAGGCCCGGGCCTGGCTGTCCGAGGGCTTCCAGGCAGAGGTGGCTGTTCCTGGCTCCCGAAGCTGCGTGATACGGCCTGGGGCCTGTCTGGCCTTCCCCACACCACCGCACCCCTGCGCGATGCGCTGCAGTCGCGTGGGCCCCACGGACCGAGGCCACGAGGACTTCCGGTCCCACCCACCAGTGCCCGCCCCCATAATAGACGCGAGAACTAAGGCAGCCCGACGATGGTGGGGAGTGCCGGGACCAGGGTCAGGGCCGGCCAGCGTCGGACCCACGGGGCGGGGGAGGACCAGAGGGCATGGGCACCCCCCCCTCAGGCTGCAGAAGGCAGCTCGCCCTGCAGCGCCCAGGTGGCGCTGCGCCTGCGCAGGGAGAGGGCTCGGGGGCGGGGCCGGTGACGCGCGTGTCGTGGGGGCGGGGCCG